CAGAGTCCATGGGCTTGTCATTTTACCTCTCATGGTATGTATTGAATTTTCGTTCTGCGGCGCGAACAGATGGGTTCTTACACTATCTGCCTGCTGGTACGAATAAACATACTAACATTTACGCAAGATTATATTATGCCAGTTGTTGAAGAGGATAGTTAAGAAGACTAATTGTTTAACAATTACATACATACTGTAACGGGGTCCGTTTTATTTCTTTGTCTCGTCCGATGGGCGGTCGTACTGGAATGCGCGCGACGAGATCGAAATAATCAATTTTATTAACTAACCGGGGAGTAGGAAGGACAGGTGTCAGTCAACCAACTTACTAACAATGACAACAATGAATTAACGTTTCAATCATAAATGAGCTAGTTTATTTTCAATATACTCTATAATACGCTTGGCCCGCGTGTTTATGTTTATACGGTGCGTGCGACAATCTTACGCATCGCCAGTTCGTTCACAATCTTTCGTTCGCGAAATTCGTTTACATGCACGCTACCGATTTTCTCACGATCGCCGGTGTGAGGATAGAGTAATCAAGCGCGGTCGTTTGACAAAAATCGCGACGCGGAGCTGGTCAGCTTACCTTATGTGAATAACCGCACTGTCAAGGGGAGCAGATTAATATCGCCTTTCAAAATATAGCTCAGGTCGCCGCTTTTCTCCACTGGAAGCGGGGTTTTCTCCGTCGTCCTGTCGACTCTGTCGGACGGATTCCGCGATCTCTTGGTTATCTACGATGCCAATATCACCACTCACTCCAACGGCAACAACAGAAATTATTGATGGACTCGCTTCCGCACTCTTTTTAAACATTCGTGTTTGCGCCTGGCTCCTTTGCGCTTCTTAATTCTCGGATGGCTAATCCTCGACTGGTTCTTTTACCTTCGCCCGCGTTCCGTCCCATATCGTACCGAGTTCCCGTTTTCCGCTTTCCCCGGCTGGTAGGTGCTGCCCTCGTAGGCAGCCGCGTGATCGAGATGGTAGCGTAAACAAGACGTTTACCGTCACAATACATGTGATATATAATATGTTGAAATTTTTATTACTATGTACATTAGATGTATACAGTATTATCGATACCTATTTTGTTGCAATAATTCATCGTAAGCTCTTATAAAGATTGAACAAAAATTACTTCTTGCTATAAATATTTCTGTACACAAGCTACCTTCGTCAGCAGTTTGAATCACAGGTTACTTTTGCCAACCAGAGCTTCAGAATATACCTTATATTTCAGGTATACCTTATTGTATACAGTTTATATCGTACTTACAGAACAGAGAAAAGGTTAAGTAAGTGAAAACAAGTTCAAATGGCTTGTGCAGTATAATCAAATAGAGCCATAATATACGCAAAAATAAGTAAAAATGCGGTTTTCAATTTTCTTACCGCTTTCTACCAATTTTAAGAATCTGAAAAAATTTAAATTTCGCGCCAAAAAATTTGCGGAGTCTGATAATTTTGTAGTTGTTAAAAAACTCTACAATTTAAAAAAAAGAATATTTTATATAGCAAAAATTAATGGTTATATGATTAAAAAGTCGAAAACACGAAAAATTGAGATTCTACACATGCGTGTGGGTCTTGGGGGCTGAAAATTGGTAGAGCAGTACTACGTATTTTTTATATGGAATAAGGTAATATACCTAGTTATACCAAATTATCCGGAGGCAAATTCGACTATGTTTCCCGGCTAAATCCTTTGCATTTTCTAATAAAACGTGCTTGTATCGTCATGAATATAATATAGACGAATAGAACAATAAAAATGAATTTTAATTGCCATCCGCATTGAAAATTCGACAAGAGTAGGGGTAGATCTCTCACGTTAATTAATGTTCACCGACTGAATGGAGGGTGAAAGAAGGTAAAAATAGCGATGCAAGAGGAGATAATCGGAGGCCGCTGCTAATTTTTGAATTTGCATATGAACCAATTGACTTCTTCTCGAAAGGAGATGATGACTATCTTCTTACGTGGAAAGACGCCGCTCGTCCATTTTGTCACCGAAACCCGGATCACAGTTATGAATAACGACCACAGGAAAGAAAATTTGCTCACTGTTTACTAGGAAGAAATAGCTACAAATAAAGTAAATAGGCAAAGTTCTGTTCGTCGTTGTTCGTCATTCGTCGTTCGTCGTCCGTCGTCGAAAATTATGCGGTACCGGACATGAAATTCGTCGTGCTTATTCGATTTCGTCGAGACGTATGGATTCGTCACCGCCGCGTATAGAATAATTAGACCACATAGCGGTTACCATATGAAATGTATATTTCTCTTTCATTAAGAGCTTCTAACCGAGCTTCAAAAGGAACAATAGTAATTTCTCATTTGTTTGAATAAAAGAAATAATAATCATGTGTGAAAACTACTCCTTTGAAAGGTAATTGAGATTACTTATTCAATAACTTATTTCATTATTGAGCTATACCTTACATCGTGTTCAAATTATTGTGATAATGACTCAGAAAATAATATCGATTCTTGACTGCTGTATTTTGGAGTATTTTCTACAACTGGCGCTTCAACTTTTCGCTGTTTTGAAATCGCAAAACGAGCGATGTCTCTGCATTTCTGATACAAAATATATACAACTACGATTGCCATAGCAAAATAATTGGACATCGCAATAGCTTCATCTTCTCCATCAACGGTTTTGTTTGGCCCAACCATATTTACTTTGTACCTTTGTTCGCATATTTATCACCATTATGTAGATGGTATCGTTTAAGCCTGGAAAAATTGAGTTCATCAATGATTTCTTGATTTATGTCAATGTAATACTTTTTTATTTTTTATAATTTCTTTATTCACGAACTTTTTACATTAAATTTTCAATTATTTGAATCAAGTCAAATAATTTTTTTTCACATCGTATAAGAATTCGCAATGAAAATTGTATACATGCCGTAAGATCGTTAAACATTCATGATCGCATAATTTTCATGAAACCAATACCGCAGATACCGGTGATATTGTACATAACTCTCAGTCAACAAAAGTGTTCATGATCAAAGGTAAGGTCATGATAATATTTCTCGAGATTAACTTTTATTTGAAATATTTGTCACTAAACCTCAGCCTTGTTCGGTCATTCGCGAGGGAAAATTGATAATAAACAATAAAATTAACGTCTACTTATACTTGAGGAGTTAATAGAATCCCGTAAATGATAATTGCTCTTTCATTTTGAATTCGAATACACATCTAGGAATTTTTATTTAAAGTAACAGATTTCACCTCGAAATAACCATGACTATGATATTGAAGATCACAGAGAAGGTTTCCACAACATGCGGCGCTCGAAAGACAACTTTCATTGAAACTGTTTTTTGCATAACACTGTATTTTTAATTCTCTAAAGGCGTCTACGGATGAACTGAACTCTTTTGTATATATGACAAAATAAAAAAATTTGATATCTAGTATTTGCCTTTCTTAATCATTCGTATTTCTGTTTTATTTAAAATGTATGTGGGATGGCTATTAAATTGTTCTTTCTAGATTATGAGCTTTGTAGACTTAAAGAGTCTAAAAGAATATTGATAACTTGACCATTATACCTAAGTGTAATATCCATTGTAATATTCAGAGAAATGTATCACCTATGAAAACCAAAGTGTTGCCATCAACACTTTTGAATATCTGTATATTAACGTAACTATAAGTAACGAAACTATACAAGCTACGCCTACGTAAATACTATTTGCTACTTTGTTATTTAAAGGTTATTTATAATTATTATATTATTTATATTATTATTTATATTATTTATAAAACTTATTTATAATTCAAGGGAGCTTCAACGTTTATTTAAATCTATACCTTACTTGGTTTTAATCATGATCCTATTTCTTTGTGAGCGAAATTTAGATTGTGCTTATGCTAAAGTCATAGCAATAAGTTAGGCAAGATTTTTGCACTTAGATACGGTCAACTATTGAAAACGTGATTTCTATACATTCCGTTAACACTCTGTTCCTTTTCGTATGAGTCATTTTGGCATGAATTACTTGATCAATCGTTATATCTCTCTTATATATTGAAGTTCTAGATAAATAGTTACGAGGTTTGTCCCAAAAGTATCCGACCTTACTCGATTTCTCGGTGCTTGATTGAATCTTCTTCGTTCGGGGGGGGGGGGCATCCTTCAAAATAGTCCCTATTTAATTGAATAAGACGCTCATATCGAGGTTTCCACTTATTAAAGAACTCTTGAAAGTCAGGTTTTGGAATTGCCATTAGTGCATTTGTCACATTAGTTTCAACAACTTTATCAATGTCCCTTAAGCACCATTTTACAATCGAGGAAAGAGTCAAAAGTCGCAGAGAGCTATATCAAGATTGTATGGAAGCTGGCGGAGCTGTGCAAAACTGTATTTAAATAAATACTGCTGCACAAGTTTTGATGCGTATGTTGAAGCATTGTCGTGATGAAGAAGCCAGTGGCCAGTTTTCCAAAGTTGCGATCGTTTTCTTCTTATTGCATAACACAATCTTTTCAAAACTTCAACATAGTACTCTTTGTTGATTGTCTGGCCTGTAGGAGCATATTCATGGTGCACTACGCCCTTATAATTGAAAAAAATAGACCAAAACGAAGATCATTGTCAGCAGACGTACGGCCACTTTTGAACAGCCTATATCACTCTTTTATTTGTGTTTTAGTTACAACTTATTCTAAATCGAAAGTTTGGACTTGCATGAGAATGCTCCGGAAAGACCCACAGATCACGAACAAAATTAAAGTTACTTTCGAATTCGAACAGATAGAATTTGTAAATTCAGATTCAAACTTATAAATATTTTTTCTATAATAAATTTATTCTATATATGAAATATTATTTGCACTTATTCATACTTATAAAGAATCAAAACTATATTGCTCCTGTACATGGAGAATATTATTTAAATGAAAAAACTAAAAGGTATTGGAAATCATATTTAGTGATAAAATTGAAGTTTAACAGCAATACACATTATTTTAGGAATTAACATCAATGATGGAAAAACTTGAACGTTCTCATGAAATGGAGGCAGCTGAAAGAGCAAAACTAGAGACGGAAATCCGTAATAAACAAGAAGAAGTTCAGCGTATACAGTCAGAAGTTGCAGCTAAAGATGCTGAAGCAAGGAGATTGCAGGAAGAAGTAGAAGCTGCTAGGTAATGTAATTATTCTATTTGATTGATCTACAAAATGTTTAATTTTGTAATTATGTGAATTATTTCAAGATTCATTTAGCTAATGTATATACAGGGCATAACAAAAATACCGAAACGGTCCTGTATTTTTTCAGGTAAGGTATTTTTGAAAAAGGTTAGGGTAAGGTGTTTCATAACTTTTTGCAAGGAATTCAATAGTGACCTTGGATTTGACGGATCGGAAAATTTTACGTTCAAATATGTATCGAGGTCCAAGGTTAAGGACAACCCTAAAGGTCAAATAAAGGTCAAACATTTTTAAAAATTTTTTAGTTTTACTTTTAAAGTATCAAGCACCCCACATGCGAGGCAAAGGAAACTCACGCCATTCAAGCACCCCGAAGGGAACAGTATCTACTATATCCACGCCTTGTTCCTGGATAATGCTAAAAGTAAAAGCCAAAACATCAGAAAATTAAGTTCGTGATTAGTGATCCCAAAAATCACTGTACAAACTGTATTTCCAACGATACTGATACCATGGGGATGTGACCTTTATACTACTGTGGGCAAAAAGTAAGGTGAATTTTCAATTTAAACTTCGCGGTTTTAATATTTCGGGCTAGTTCTTTTTTTCTTGAGTTGGTAGGACTGCGAATGACATCTGGGACAAATTTCATGTCAATGTCATCATCAGTAATATATTTACACTTGTGTTTACCAAACGACCAAGAGTGCATGTTTCGATTTTTACAATGTCTGATTTAATTGAGCAAAGAAGTGCTATCAAATTTTGTTTGCGGAATGAAATTTCGGCTGCGGAAACGTTGAGGATGTTGCAGAAGGCCTTTGGTGATTCTACCATGTCGCAGAAAAATGTTTATAAGTGGTACAAAGACTTCAAAGAGGGTCGAGAACGTGTTGATGACTTGGAGCGCTCCGGACGACCATCGACGTCAACAGATGACCAACACGTCAATAAAGTGAAAGAATTAGTGCTCGAAAATCGTCGGTTGACTGTTAGAGACCTTACTGATATGATCGGAATATCAGAAGGATCTGTGAAAACAATTTTGAAAGACCATTTACGCCTACGAAAAGTCAAATCTCGTTTGGTACCGAAAACGCCTAATTTCTTGCAAAAATGTCGCCGCGTTGATGTGTGTGAAACAATGCTTTCTGACTATCAGGACAAGCTCAAATGCATGATTACGGGAGATGAGACTTGGATTTATGCTTACGACCCTGAAACAACCGACCAATCAAGCGAATATCGTGCTAAAGGCGAGGCAAGACCGAAAAGAGCACGTCAAAGTCGTTCAAAAATCAAGGTCATGATGACAGTTTTCTTCGATTTTCGTGGTGTGGTGCACTATGAATTCCTTCCACCCGGCCAAACTGTTAATAAGGAATATTATTTGAGCGTTATGCGTCGTTTGCGTGAAGCAATTCGTCTAAAAAGACCAGAATTATGGGCCAACAACTCTTGGTTTTTGCATCACGATAATGCACCATCTCACACTGCACTCGTTCTTCGTGACCATTTCGCCAAAAATTCGACGCATATCGTTCCGCAACCACCGTATTCGCCTGATTTGGCTCCGTGTGACTTCTGGCTATTCCCAAAACTCAAGAGACCACTCCGGGGAACGCGTTTCGAGTCGATTGAGGAGATAAGAGCTGAATCGAAGAAGGCGCTGATGGCTATACCGGAAAGGGACTATTTGGCATGTTTCGAGGATTGGAAAAAACGTTGGCATAAGTGTATTTTATCGGGAGGAGATTACTTCGAAGGGGATGACATTGATGTAGAAGAATAAATAAAGATTTTTCATTTTACAAACAAATTCACCTTACTTTTTGCCCACAGTAATCTACAAATTACCACATCGTAAAATTTTTTATTGCCAATATCAAAAATAAATGTTTTCGGTTGAAAAAAATTTGTCATTTAGGTCCTTTACTAATCCTGCGACATTTCCAGATGTTTCCCTAACAACACATGTTTGACCTTTATTTGACCTCTAGGATTGTCCTTGACCTTGAACCTCGATACATATCCAATTTTTGAACATCCAATTTTCCGCTCTTTCAATTACTGCTATGAAAAAGAGGGGTTTCTATTTGAAAAAAAAATTGACCTTGAAATAACCTTGAAAGTGAGGTTTAAGGTCAAATCCAAGGTCACTATTGAATTCCTTGCAAAATGTTACGAAATACCTGACCCTAACCTTTTTTTAAAATACAGGATCGTTTCGGTACTTTTGTTACGCCCTTTATATAACATAATATTATAGAAAACCTTCACGATTCGATACTATTTTTCTCGAATGCTCAAACCATGTGCACGTTTTCAGTTGAACGATTATAATCAACTTGATTCAACAATTACAACATTACTAACGTTGTTTGATACCTGTCACGTGCTCTTTTCTTTTTTTATTTTTGTCAAATTGATCAAACCTTTTATGTGCTAACTTCAAGTTTTTAATGCTATAAATAAATGACGCAATTCTAAATACATTACCATTTTTTTTAATCATTATTTCATAACAATCAACGAACTTCCGCTCATTCCAACATAAATAGAAAAATTAATCAAAAGTTTGATTTTTAAGCTTACTTAAATTTCAGATAGGAATCTTATTATCAATTTACAGCCTGTACGAGGGTGGTCCGATAAGTACTTAGTCTCACCGCCCGATGGCGCCACTCTAGCTAAAAAAATATTCTATCACGTAGTACAACCTTCTCGATGGTTACTGTCAAGATTACAGCCGGATCGGAGTTGTAGTTTATTTTTGAGATCGTGTGAAAGCAAGTGTGTCCGTTAATTTTTGAAAAATGGAAAAAGAGCAGTATCGGTCGGTGATTCGATTCTTGTTTTTGGAAGGGAAATCGCGTAGTGAAATCAAAAAGCGCTTGGATGCTGTGTACGGTGACTCTTCTCCTTCGATGGCGACCGTCAAAAATTGGTTTAACGAGTTTCAACGTGGTCGCACGTCGATTTTTGAAGAGCCACGATCAGGTGCTCCGAAAACGGCTACCACGGAGGATAATTGACAAAAATTCATGATCTCGTATTGGCAGTTCGACGATTGAGGGTGCGCGAGATAGCTAAGATCGTAAGCATCTCAAAAGACGGCGTGGGTCATGTCCTGTATTAAATTTTGGGCATGAGAAAGCTGTTGGCGCGATGGGTACCGCGTTTGCTCACTCCGGACAACAAGCGCAACCGTCAGACAACTTCAAAGCAATGTCTGACGCTGTTTAAGCAAAATCCGAATGAGTTTCTACGTCGTTTCATGACAGTCGATGAAATATGGATCCACTGGTATACACCAGAGACCAAAGAACAATAGAAAGAGTGGACTTTCCCCGCGAAAGTGCTCCGAAGAAGGCGAAGACGCCCCATCGGCCGGAAAGGTGATGGCCACCGTTTTCTGGGATTCACAAGGTGTGATCTACATCGACTACCTGGAGAGGGGCAAAACAGTCACAGGGCTGTACTATGCCGAATTATTGGGCCGATTCGACGTCGAATTGCAGAAAAAACGACCCCATTTGGCGAAGAAAAAAATGCTCTTCCACCACAACAACGCACTAACTCCCACCTCCGCCGTCGCCATGGCCAAATTGGTCGAATTAGGCTATGAACTGCTGCCCCATCCACCGTATTCTCCAGATTTAACCCCGTGCGACTTCTTTTTGTTTCCAAACTTGAAAAAGTCACTCGCCGGGCAGAAATTTGAGTCGAATGAGGAGGTAATCGCTGCCACGGAAGCCTACTTATCAGACCTCGAGGAAACGTATTTTTCAGACGGGTTAAAGAAGTTGGAGCATCGCTGGGCCAAGTATATCAAACTAAAAGGAGACTATGTTGAAAAATAAAACGCCACTTTTCCAAAATTTTTGTTTTTCTTTTGTAGACTAAGTCCTTATCCGAACACTCTCGTATATTCCACTATTAATTAGTCTCGAAGCTTATTATCCGTATCAATTATAAATTGGATTAATTACTGGAATATAAATATAATTCTGCAAATAGGCTTAATATGAATGTTTTATAGTAATATCAAATTCAAATTTTTGCTCTTTTTCACGCATCAACCAATCATAATGACGCATTCCGATGATTTATTGTTTTGAAAGGTATAGCATAGAGTCTATTAGAAGTTTTAAAATAAATGGACCAATAAAAACATTTAAAAAATAGAATTAAAGCATTAATAATTATGTTACTTAGGATAAATTGTACAGTTAGAAACTGTGTGTTGGTTTATTTTTTACAAGCAACGGCGTACATGCTATGTGAACATTGGATAAAACTCGCTCATATTAGTTACTTATGTACCTTAGTCGAGACAATTGCGGTCGAGAAAGTTGTCGGTATCGTTTCATTGCAGCGCGTTATTATTTCGCACTATACAAACATAATCATCGACCGATTTATCCACTTTTGTTTCGACAATGATATTGAACATTTTTTCATCAGTCCTGGCTCGTTCGACTTCGGGTTTTGCTTGCGTGCGTACGTGCGTGCGTGCGTTCATGGGTAAATGCGGTACTGTACAACGCCATTACTCTATTGCCCTCTCTGCAAACTTGTACCCCTCGTTACGTACCAAATTAAACGATTCATTTTACCTGCATGCCAAAATCCTTGGACGGACCATACAGGAATACACTTGCAGGAGAATTTTATTAGTATGGGAATCATAAAGGCCAAGGATCTACGTTCCGCTCATCAAATATTTTCCTTTGTACGTATTCGCTTTTTTTGATTCGGTCATGGTGTTTTAAAAAAACTCGTCAACCTTGGGTCGACCCTATTCAGACTTTCACATAAATGTCATCCAATTGGTACAAAAATTTCCTAAACATGAAGAGCTTTCATAATACTATCAAATGAAAATTACCTATCAACAAAATTCAGCTGGAATTCCAGCTAGATTTCCTCTTAGATTATTATAGATTCCTGATTGGATATCCTAGATAATCTAGGTAGATTTCTTTAATAA